TTTTCCAAAACTTAAATTGTACTGGTGCTGGCGATGATAGTCATGAGTAGGCCAAATAAGGACTGGATTCCAAATATTGATTTTGGATTGTCAGTTTACTTTAGAGAAAAGCAAGTTACAAGGGTTGATCCTTGTAGACTGTAATCAATTTATCCAGAGTAAAAATCCTCTTCGAAGAAAGGCCAAATAGTTGTTTCTAACGTATAAGGTCTCCTCTACTTACTGCATCTATCATTTTAATCTCAATAGGAAGTAGTCATTCATATAAATATTGTTTGAGAGTTTATTCTGACAAGTTGTGTTGTGCACAACTTGCACAGAACTTTTTGAAATGTTCCCAATAATCATATGATGATTCACTGTCCTTTTGTAGAATTCCTACAATGTTCCACCTTAGTTCAGTTGCTTTATCGCAGTGAAAAATATTTCAAGAAAAATAGACACATGTCAGCCCAAGAATCAATATAATAAGGAGTAAAATAAAATAAATAATCCTTTTCCGAATAGGATAAGGAGAGAGGGAAAGCACAAACTTTAATTTGATCTTTAGAGACTCATTGTGGATTCATACAAAGGCAGACCATATCTTTCACATTTTTATGCGGATTCTTATTTTGTAAATCGTGAAAGTTTGATAGAAGATGGATCAAACTCTTCTTTAATACGATTTGCGTTTCGCCATTCAGGAATATGATACAAAGCAGTTGTTGTTCATAAGGTGTTGCAGCTGGCTCTCGGATCGTTTGATCAACCATATGTACTGATTTTTCTCCATCAAATATATATAAAACTTCGGTGTAAAAGATTTCTCCCGAGTCTAGATCGAGTTTTAGTTGATGTTGTTGTTGTCTCCTTCATCGAAGAGTTTCACCACGTAATATCCGGGCACGTGCCTCAATTTCATATTTGTAATTTATTAATTCTCCTAGAAACAACCTGGCTATAGATCAAAAAATGAAATAATATTACTACTTTTTCGAAGTCACCGACAACAGTGTTTATTTGACAAGAGTCGAATCGTAAAATAAATTAATACTCTAATCTCAAATAACTAATAAATGTAGTATATAAAAGTAGAGGTCGATCCACAAAGACTAAGAAAATCTAAATAATTTTCTTGTTTTGATCCTTGGGTTTTATCTGTAAAAGTAAAAATGAGGGGCTTAAAAATAATGAAAGTAATAAAATAATAAAAATAAATAATGAATAGAAAATGATGAGAAATTAAATAAAGTAGAATAACTCAAACGATATGATATAACCTTAGGCTTTGCTTAGCTTCAATTTTGATCGATCATCGAAATAGAATTTTTCCTTCGTAATTTACGTCGATTACAGTCAACAGGGCTCAACTCCTGCAGCTAACTCTTCTATCTGGTCAATCGAAATTTTCAATTCTATGTCCAAAATCATGTCCTAGTTGGTCTACCACGTCTATTGTCATTAGATTCAAATTGCTTTAAGTTTTGGAAAAGCCCGACTTAAGTTATAACGTCTCTCCGAGAATCGAACTCAATCTTGGTTCCACTTAGCGGACCGCCGTTAAGTTTGTTTACAGGAAGTAGAATTACGACCAACCGATCCGACTTCCAAACTTCAAGCAAAAAACAATCTTCAAATCAACGTGATCTTTTCGAATTGAATATGTAGTAACTTTTTCCGCTCTTAGTTTCCAGAAAATCAAAGAATATGATATGAATGTATGAAGAACATGACTTAATTCTCATGATTAGAACTGAGCTTCACTGAACATTTGGCTAAGTGAAATTTTAACTAAACATGGATTGGATCATGCTTAACATTATGGAAAGGAATAATGAAAGAAAAGTGAAGATAATAAAAAGTAGAACTTCAATAATTAACCAAAGAAAATTATATTTTAATATATCTTTCAACTGTTGAACCTAAGAGATATTTAAAACTCGGGAGTTCATAAAATAGCTAGTTCATAAATAAAAGATAATGATAAAGATAAAATAATAAAAATAAAAATCTTATAGAGAGTTCTTAGTAAATAAAATAACTAATTTCTAAATAAATATAATAAGAAAATAATTAACTTAAAAATTCTAAATTAAAGTGGTTTGTCACAAAAGATAAAAATAAATGTTTAAGTATTGCAATTATGATTGAATTTTGATTCATCTTCTAGATTACTTGTCCTACGTAAATTTCAAATTAAATAAATATTTAATTCTTATAGTTTCAATTGAATTTTGCTTCATCTTCTAGATAACCTTGTCTTAGATAAATTACAAAATAAACATTTAAGAAAATTTCGTTCGTCTTTTAGAAATACTAACTAAACCGTCGAAATCTATTGATTTTTGAACTAATTAATCTAATGAAATTTTTATCCAAAATAAATCTAAAAGAAAATAAATAAGTTGAAAATAAATCACTAATTTTAAAAACAAATGGAAAAAAATACAATATTCAACCCTTATCATAAATAAAAATTATGTAATATCTTTTAATGCAGAATTAATTTGTCGTAATCTTTTTAGTGGAATATCTTCCTAGTATTTAAAAGCATATGGATATTTTCCCATTTGTTTATCAGTTGTTGTCCGATATACAGAATACTTAACCACAAAATAAACAAGATGAAAGATCAGATTCCCTTATAAAATCAACTTACCATCTCTTTTATAACACGTCTATCAGTCTGCTTCGCTGAAATGGAAGCTTGGTTCTTCATCCTTCTCACCATCTCCATTTCTCTCATTCTCAAAGCCATCTTCAACCTCTTCTCCCCTTACAAAAAGCTTACCCACACTCTCCCTCCAGGCCCTTCCACTTTCCCTGTCATCGGCAACATCATATGGCTCACCAAATCATTCTTCCAAATCGAGCCAATCATCCGCAACCTCCGGGAAAAGCATGGCTCCATGATCACTCTCTACATCGGTTCCCGTCCCTCCATCTTCGTCTTCGATCGTTCCCTTGCTTACCAGGCTTTAGTCCAGAACGGTGCACTGTTTTCAGACCGACCCAAAGCTCTTCCCACTGGCAAAATCGTGACTAGCAATCAACACAACATTAGCTCCGCCCCATATGGCCCCAACTGGCGGGTTTTACGGCGGAACCTGACATCGGAAATCCTCCATCCTTCGCGTATCAGGTCGTATTGTCATGCTCGTAAATGGGCTCTGGACATTCTTTTTGATGGGTTACAGTCCAAGGCTAAAACGGGGGAACCGGTTCAGGTTTTGACCCATTTTCAATATGCTATGTTCTGTTTGCTGGTTTTAATGTGCTTTGGTGACAAAATTAGCCAGGAGCAGATAAAAGAGATTGAGGATGTTTTGCGAAGGGGGCTGCTAAGTATTGGGAGATTCAATATACTCAACTTTTGGCCTAGTGTCACCAAGGTTTTGCTTCGTAAGCGATGGCAGGAGTTTCTTCAGCAACGTAAAGACGAAGAAGCTGTGCTGATTCCTTTGATATGAGCAAGAAAGAAAGCTAAAGAGGAGAAATCGAGCATGAGGGAAAGTAACGATGATTATGTTTTGGTTATATGTTGACACTTTGTTGGATTTGAAGTTACCAAAAGAAAGAAGGAAGCTTGAAGAAGGAGAAATTGTGAGTTTGGCCTCTAAATTTCTTAATGGTGGTACCGATACTACCTCCACCGCTTTGCAATGGGTCATGGCAAATCTGGTGAAATATCCTTACATTCAAGATAAGTTATTGCTTGAAATCAAAGGGGTTGTTGGAGATGAAGATGAAATCAAAGAAGATGACATACAAAAGATGCCTTATTTAAAAGCAGTGATTTTGGAAGGGCTGAGAAGGCACCCACAGGGCCACTTTGTGGTCCCTCACCGTGTGAAACAAGACACCGTGCTTGGAAAACATTTGGTCCCTAAAAGTGGAACCATCAATTTCATGGTGGCGGATATGGGGTTGGGATCCAAAGGTGTGGGATAATCCCATGGAGTTTAAGCCTGAGAGGTTCCTGGAAAGTGATGGAGTGTTTGATATAACAGGGAGCAGGGAGGTGAAGATGATGCCTTTTGGTGTGGGAGAAGAATTTGTCCTGGTGTCGGCTTGGCACTGCTCCACCTCGAGTATTTTGTGGCCAATCTGATCTGGAAATTCCAATGGAAGGCTAGGGATGGAGACGAGATCAACTTGGAAGAGAAGCAAGAGTTCACGGTTGTGATGAGGAATCCTTTGACGGCTCACGTTTCACCAAGGAAGAGATAAGGTCTTGATGTTATGCTTAAACTAGAAATTAAATTATACTACTACATCAAATAAGGCCAATGTGAATGAATGACCACACCAACTTAGAATGGTGTGTATGCGTGTTACTTTATCTTTCCCATAAACGACACCATAATGTCATTTTCAAGTCCTTCTCTACGTGAAAAAATTGGAATAAAAGTTTGCGTTACAGCCTAGATAGTGACGTCTACCACAATAGTAGGCAACACACTTTATCAGTTTCGTACTTTCATTGAACTATGCAAACCATCGAGCGAGTGGAATTTAAGTTGAATAATGTTCTATTCGCATTTGTTAAAAGAATTTATTGTTCAATTTCACTCATTGTTTGTTAAATTTAATAAAATTTTGTTCTACTCATATTTATTAAAAAATACTTATCGGTTTACTTATTGTTCGACTTAACTCGTTATTAATTAAATTTATTAAAATTTTATCTTATTTTTTATTTATCTATAAAATCTAGTAATAACATATAGAACTTAATATAAATATAAATTAACAAATTTAATTAAAAAAAAGTTAAAAGAGTGTATGAAACAATATCAAAGTCTAAAATCCAAAATAACAATTCACTAATACATCAAAATAACAATTAAAAAATAGTGTTTATCAATTAGTAATTAATTTTTAATTATATATATTAACAAATTAATATTTATTAATTATACTTTCTTTTTTAATAGAATAATTTTAAGGTAACTATTGAAGAATTATAAAAATTTAAAAGAATATCTTATGAACTTATCGAGTCAAGTTAAAACTTACTCCACTCGTTAAGATTTTGAGTCGATTTAGCCATTAAAACCCATCCCGTGCTACTCTTCAGACATTTCCGCATTCTGTCATTACATGAGTCGCATGTCAAAAGATGAGATTTTCATACTTAGCTTATAGGTTTAAGTATTAGATAGATTTGTCTATATGTTTGCTAAGAATTTTTAGAATTCGAACTCATCAAGCGGTCACAGAGATTAAAAAAAATGTTATTCACCCTAAAAGCTTTGGTTCGAATAGATATATCTTCAGGATATGTGTGCGATGTCAATAAAGAAATATTATGAACAAATACTATCTTCTCATCACCTCAAACTATTTCCAAAAAAAAAAAATTCAGAAGTGCGTACCTTGTATGTTCAACTGTTGAATGGTGGCATTAAGGTCACCAGTCCAACATCCTTTATGATCTGTTAATGATCGTTGAACCTTTTGTAGCCTTGGCGTGGTTAAAGGTCCTTCACAAAAATGCTTCAATGTGGGACACTCACTCACTATTATTTGATCCAATGATGGGAACTTCAAAGAGTAATTCCCTGAACAGAAGCTTGTGAGGTTTTGTAAACAATGAAGCTCCAAATATTGTAACTCTTTGAAAACAATCTCATTCTCATGGTATGTGGTTGCTTCATCTCCATCGCTTGCAATTACTTCTCTCATTGTCTCACATTCCCTTATCCTCAGTGTAACAAGCCGCTCCAAACTTCGAGCTTTTGAAGATGTTATCATCTGTGCCATCGCCTTGCAAATCCGAACATCCAAAATCGTAAGATATTGAAAAGTCGATAACGGAGCCGACGATATTCAATCAGACTTTCACATCTCCAGACTCTAAGACACTCGAGATTTCGACACATATGGTGCAGCGGTGAGTCTTGATTCCACAGATATTGAATCTTATCAAAGAAATCCAATTTCAACTCTTTTATTGTTCGAAAAGTGGAGGTCACCTCCCTGTTTTCACCTTCGTCAAAAGACAAATCCTTGAAATTGCAAGAGAACATCTCAAGTATTTGTAGATTGTGAAACCTTTGGATGAAACGAAATGGAAAGGCAGCGGTTTCGTCAAGATAGTGAGTGATCCAAACTACTTTAATATCTCGAAAAAAGTCTGTTGGAAATTGAACATTGCTTAACATTTCAATGTCATCACTGCTAAATGCAACTTCCTCCAATTGGGGAATGATCTGAGAAATCATCAAACAAAACCATAGATACACATGAGATTATTATTTGCACTCCAAATCGATGAGCATATTAAAAATGGAATAATGAAAAAATTAGACATCAACGTTATTTATAAATGTTCACTTTGGCTCGCATTCTTTTTTTTTAGTATTTTAGTCCCAATGTTTTAATTTTAATCAAAATAAACTGTTAATTGACTAATTGTCAACACAGGTTACTGGAGTGATATTTTCACATATATTAAATTGGTGACGTGACACATGCAATATCATAACTTTAGATAATATGATACATGTTACATCATCATTTTAGATGACATGATATATATACGAAGTCATCATTTTGGGTGATGTGGCTTATGTCATGTCACATGTGAAAACAACACATCAACAACGTGTTGAATTTTATTCAACTGATATTTTCATCTAACTGGGACAATTTTGATTAAAAATAAAAATGTTGGAACTAAAATGCTTAAAAAAAAGAATACAGAGAAAATGATAATTTGTGCAAATGTTGGATACCAATTTTGTCATTATGCCTAAAATTAAGAAAGTTCGTACCTTTTGAATCTTGAAAAGTGGTTCTTGGAGTTGAGGGTCTCCATAATCGAACGCTTTAGTGTAGTAACATCCATATATCTTCAACCTCTTTAACGCAGGCCATCTTGTGGTGTGCTTTCCCGGGTACAAACATGTGAGGTTCGGTAGATTCCAAAGCTCAAGGTAGGACAACCCATTAACTCGAACAAAACTTCCCTCTTTTCTCCAGCATTCTCCGAAACAATCTCCTTCATCCCACAGCTTACAAGTTTAAGGCTCTCAAGTTGCTTAAGATTTCTGCCTACTGAAAATGGCAACAGAGTTTCCAAACTCAAACAATCCTCCACAAGTATCTTTCTCAAATTTTCAAAAGACATGTTTCTCTTGGGATCCATGTCCCAAACATGCTTTAAATTCGGCAAGCGGATGAGTTCCAGTTGTTTTAATTGATTGCTCACCACGTAAGCTTCAACTCGGGGTTGGAACACTTGTTCGATTGAAGCGCAATCAGTCACATTCAGCACCTCCAAGCATTGTAAAACTCTCGACAGAGATGGTGGGAAGATGTTCAACAGCGATTCACATCGAGACAGATTCAACTCTTTTAGCTTGGAAAAAGAATCGGCGTGGAGTTGGTTATTCCATATCCTCTTCACATTTATCAAATGGGAGATTGTAATTTTCTGCAAGTTGGGAAAACCAACCTACATATAAGAAAATGTCAGTATAATGCTATCATAAAGTATGACACAATTAAATGACAAATAATATTATACATGTCATATGTATTAAAGTGTCATGAAATTAAAGTGTACATACCATAAGTTATATAAATAATTTGATGAGAGATAAAATTATAAATACTTAACAAATCAACATAATATTTATTTTAAATAAAGAGGTAGTGGTCCCTATGAAATAGCTTAACTCGAGGATTTCAACATATCAATTAATTTAGGTACGCTTTGGCATCTATTATTTTATTCTTGATGAATTCATACCATAGATTCTAATTAGTTTTATATTAACTAGGTTTTGGCTCTAACATTTAGATCATATCATTTACGAGCAAACAAAAGTTAATACCATTCAGTTTATTTTACTATAGTGATATAATTTGAAAGTTCAAGAAAAAAGAATAAAGCTTCAATAATTACAATTCTATACTATATCGTGTCACGTGGCATGGTTGTGAGGTCGATTGAAGAAAAGGTGTACACCAATATAAGAGGCTTCTATTTTCTATACGATAAAAAAGAGTTCCTATAAACAAAAATACATGATACATTGGATTAGTGAGGGATGCCATAGTACCACGTTCCTTTCATAACATGGTATATGTCAAAGACAGTTAACAGAAAAAAAGAGCGGTGATTGATGAGGCAATCAACCTGAAAGTTACCGGGAAAAAAGGCTCATTGGCATAGAACGATCACCAAAGATGAGATTAAGAATCAAAGCCCGAGAAAAGTAGAGAGAAGTCCCAAGGGCAAGATGAATATTGGCATGTTCAAGTTTTTAAAATGATGTAAAAATGGAAGATTTCACCAATCATTTTCGAATTGAAAATTGGTTATTTAAAATCAGGTTACTTTAATAAAACTTTGAATTTTACTAACAAATTTTTGGTCTGCAAAATTAAAAAAAAATAAGTTTGGGATTCGATTACATGGAGAATGATTAACACCCAAAACGCCCAAAATTAATACATAATCGATTAACTATTTTTTTAATTTAGAAATTTACGACTTTTGGTTTTTATTTAATTTAAGATCCGTTATGATACAAATTTTAAAATGATATTGATTTATTTCGGGAATTATAATAGTCCTCCCAACAAAATTTGAAGATTATATCGATAACCACCGATAAATGAAACAATTGCATGGCCTACTGTGGAGAGGATCTTGTAGAAGCAATGCCATATTGCTGTCAAACCTTTAGCCTCCAAATTGTCTTAGTAGAACTGTAAGAGTACTCCAAATAGTTAGAACCCAACTCATATTAACGACCCAAGGCCAATCTCATGGTATTCTATAGTCTATAAGCATATCACTATGGACCGAAGTAAAATTTTATACTTGAAGGAGCGAGTTTATAAAATTTTAGAGAAGATCGAATTTATATCAGTGGTAAAAAAAGATTATCAATAGAAAATACAAAAAAAAAAAATCTAAAATATAAAAAATATTTGAAACTCTCATAGGCGATTGGACCCACCCCCAACCCTTTGTATCACTAGGTCCCCTCAACTATAATTTTATCCTTCTTGGACTTTCAGCATTGGAATTCCTTGATCAGGTTATTGAATGGATTAAGGCGTATGTTGCTACTCTAGATTATCCATCTCACTCAATGGAGGACAAGTGGGTTATTTCAATTGGGTTAGAGTTCTATGGCAAAGAGATCCAATGTCACTTTACCTTTTGAACATCTCACTCAATAGAGGGCTTGCATGATTCAACAAATTTTAGCTTGAGAAGGCTTTTTTTTGGGTAGCTTGGCTATGTATTTATGTTCTTAAAGATAGATAATTCTGGTAAATATTAGGTGCAAAGGAGAGCAGCAGCAACTGTAACTGGAGACACTTTAAAGCTAAAAAGAAAAAAAAAAGTGGGTTTTGGAAAAAGAGGAGAAGGGTTGCTTTGGGACTCCCTTATCATTTGGAGAGGCTTATTTTGAGGGCCATACATGATTTTTAGTGAATGGAATAGGAGACAATTGAAGTGAACGTAAACTTTTGAAGAAGAAAGAGTCAAAACATTGAGGAAACAATCTAAATGAGCTTATGAGAAAGGATAAAATAGTGGGTTATTATAAATGTTAGATTATGTATAGATTAGAGACAGGATACTAGCAAGCAGTTGGTGCAAATATAAGATTTTATTGATTAGCTAATGATTGTGTATAAAATAGGAGGTTATCTAGCTCGTGATTATTGATTAGCTATAAGATTTTATTTTATGATATGAAAGCAAAATTGAATGTATAAAAAGAAAATTCATTAAATTAAGAAAAAAACTGACCTTATCACAGAAAAATGCAGGAAAGCTATGAGTTCCATCACCAATTCTTGCTTCTTCTCGAGAAAATGTAGAAACAAAAGAAGTCATGTTTGGGGAGCCTGCTATCTTAATGTCTGTCAAGGATGGATATTCAAGTGCTGTACTTCCCATGTAAAAGCTTGTCATATTGGGACAATGCTCCACTGTAATGGATTTTAGACGAGGGAATATACTAATCATTTTATTACCATCTTCTTCAACCATTGAAGTTGAACCCTCTTCCTTGATGACTTGTTGAAGATTAGCACATCTCTTGATTTCTATTTCTTGGAGTCGGCCGAGGTTGGATGCCATGGAGGGGATAAAAATGCATCTCAACTGGCTTGAATCGCATACCTCTATGAATTCAAGGCTTTTAAAATCCAACATTTCCCGAGGATTTCTAGCACTCCACATGTTTATCAGCTCCGAAAACTCTGATAGCTTCAAATGCGTTAGCCCGCAGTATCCGACCTAAGGAGCATCATATATACACATCAAAAGGTGAGACATGCATACTTAACAAGAATCCTACACGAACACAGTGAAAATAAAGTTTCAGCTATTACCTGTTCTTTGTATAGCTGCTCCATGGTAGCATTAAGATCACCGGCCCAACGTCCCTTATAATCCACTTCCGTTAGTTGAACCTTTAGTAGCTTTGGTGTGCTTAAAGCTCCTTGACAAAAACTCTTCAATCTAGGACATTGACGCACTATTACTTGATTCAATGATGGGAAATTGAAACTGCACTTGGCTAAACAGAAGTTCTTCAAGTTTTGTAAACAATAAAGCTCAAGACATTTCAACTCCCTAAAAATAATCTCCTGATATGTTGATTCATCTCCTTCACCTGCGATTATTTCTCTCATCAGATGACACTCTCTTATCTTCAATGTAACAAGCTGCCCCAAACTTTGAGCTTTGGAAGATGTAATCAGTTCCACCATCTCTTTGCATTTCCAAACATCCAAAGTTGTAAGATTTCGAAACGATGAGGAAGCCGATGATAAAGTGATCAAATTGTCACATCTGAAAACTTCAAGGCTTTCAAGACTTGCACAAATATGGTCCAGTGGGGAGGCTTGCTTCCAAAGATGTCTTATGTTATTAAGACCAAACAACTTCAACTTTTTTATGTTTGGGAGCATGTCTTGCCCCCGAACTATTATATCACCTTCATAAGGAGATAAGTTTTGGAAATCACAACAATCCACCTCAAGCGATTCCACATTATAAAATCTTTGGAGAAAACTGAAGGGAAAAACTGCTGTATCGAAGTGGTAGCAAGTAATGCGAAGATGTTTTATATTCCAAAACATATCTCCCTCAAACTGGCCTCCACTTATCATCTCAATATCATCACTGCTAAATGAAACTTCCTCCAACTGGGGAATAACCTAGCAAAGCAAACAAACAACAACAATAACATAATATTGTTGGATTAAAATTCGTGTGGGCACGACTATATATGCATAATGTTATCATAATGTATGACACAAAATTAAATGACCAATTAAGTGTCATGAAATTAAAAGTGTATATATTATAAGTTGTATTTATAATTTGACGGGAGACAAAATTATAAATACTTAAAAGATTGACCTAAAATTTAATCTATATGAAGAGGCAGTGGTCCCAAGAATTAGGTTAACTTGTATTTACTCTTATCCCCTTCTTCCAACAAGAGAAAACCTATTTAGAACCGATTTTATATCAAGTTTTGGTTTTAACAAATATTATTTTGGGAATGGATATAGAATGATTTAAGTTATGAACATTGAGGAAGGATAAAGGCTCCTTACCTTCTGGATTAGGAACATTGGTTGTTGGATTTGGGATTCTTCTTGACCAAATATCTTCATCTTCAGACACTCGTATGTCTTCAACTTTTTTAACATGGGCCACATTGTGCTATGCATTCCTGGATAGAAACATTTGAGGTTTGGGAGATGCCAAAGCATGAGAAAAGATAACTGCTTAAATTCAAACCAAATTCCCTGCTTCACTCCCATGTTCTTTGAAACGATCTCCTCCAAGCCACAGAAATGAACTGTAAGGCTCTCAAGTTGATGAAGACCTTTGGCTATTGAAAATGGGAACAGGTTCTTCAAACTCCAACACTCCCAAACATACACGTTTCGTAAATTTCGAAAAGAAATGTGTCCATTTGGATCCTTATTCCAAACATGCTTTAACTTTGGCAAGCGAACGAGTTCCACCACTTTAAATTGGCTGCTCACCACGTTTGCTTCTTCCATGCCTGACCCTTGAACTTGGACTCGGAATACTTCTTCAAGCGAAGCACAATCCGACACCGTTAGTGTTTCGAGTCGTGGAAAAAATCTCAGTAGAAAAGATGGGAAAATGTTCAACAATGCATCACAGTACTCAACTTTCAACTCTTTTAGATTAGAAAAGGAATCTGCATGAAGTTGGCTAGACCACATCCCCTTCACATTTCTCAAATGAGAGACTACGATTTTCTCCAAGTTGAGAAAAACAACCTACAATGCAATAAGAAATGTCAAATGATAAAGGCCAGAAAAGAAAAATTCATTGCCTCTTAAGGACAATCTACCTTTTCATTGAACAAAACTCCTTCAGTGGGGATATCTTTGCTCATAGATTCATACATGAATCCCCTCAATTCTGGGCAGTTTTCTATCTCAAGAATCTTCAAGGCTGGGAATTCAACCTTATAATCTTCATGGCAAAATCGGATAAGTTTCTCGAGACCCTTCAATTTGAGGGTGTTCAATAGAGGGAAGGAGATTGGAGCTCTGTTTCTGAATGCTTCTTTGGTCATCTCCTCTGCTGGTATTATCTCATTTATGCACTTGCAATCACTTATTTCCAAGTATTTGAGCTGCTGCAGGTATTCAGCCATAGAGTCGGATATGACGTGTTTCAAGTTGGAGCAGCCCTCAATGATCAAGCTTGTCAAATTTTGAGCCGAACAAAACGCTTGGGGAAGCCACATCCTTTCAATGCCAATTGTGGATAGTTTCAACTTCTCCAACTTAGGAAACAATAGCTGCACACATGTACTGCATCTGTTAACTCACCAACTCTAATCTTCTTTTAAGTTTGAATATTTTTTGAACGGATGGAAATAAGATGCTACGAAAGAAGGAAGAAATATGAAATACCTTTTGGTTGAAAAGGGCCATTCCCTGTGGAGACGTGGAAGTGGAACAATTGTTTTGTGAGCAAAAGCTGATGAAGTTTGGCATGCCCTCAAGCGTCAAAGATTGTAGCTGAGAAAACTCAATTTTGGGAATAACATCATTATCTTTAAGGATATGTTGAACCATGGCGCCATTCTGGATATGCAGATTCTTCAACTGCTGAAAATAATCCCTGGCTTCTGGCTCATGTAGCAAAATCTCCACACCTTTCATTTCATCTAGCTCCACACTTTCAGCTTTCTTCAATAAAACTTTGATTCCATTATTAAGAAAGCGGAATCTTGTTTGTAGATTGAGTTTTAGTGTCCTGGAGTATTTCCCCACACCAACCCAATCCCAATCCCTATTCCAATCCCAAGCATCTCCTATGAAAATATTGTACCTTCTCAAATTTTCAAAGGAGAAGTCCTTGGGAATGATGTCTGCATGAGGGACATGAACATCTAAAACAGTTAAACAAGACAAAGCCCTGAGTTCAACAAGACTAGCATTGTTTTGTTGGCTGTGGCTGACGTGTCTTTCTGTTTCCCACTGCCTAAAACTGTTACCCATGTACAGTTCTTCTAATCTTTTCAACGTGTTGAAGACACCGGATTCGATTCTTTTGAGTTTGGAACCACTTAGGTCCAACAACTTCAACTTGGTTAGCTTTCCGATTTCGTTAGGTAACATTTCGATATCGGAAAACACAAAGTGTAGAATTTCCAAATCCTTGAGCTCTCCGATGAGGGAAATGTCTCCCAACACACATTGATCAAGGCATAATGTCCGGAGGTTGGCTAGCAGGGAAAGTGATGAAGGCAAGGATGGAAAATCCATTTGACAAAAAACCAGGACTCTAAGATTTCTCATTTCGTGAAAAAAATTGGTGGGAATTTTCGTGGGAGGATCCTTGCTAACCATGAAGAAAAAACTAAGTTTGGGGCACTTCAAATGATCAGGAAGCTTGCTAATGTTAGCATTCCACAAAGTAATTATGTCCCAAGTTTTCATTATTTCTGCTGATGGCCAATCATGAATAACATCCTCGTTTCTTGAAACAAACATACGGTTGTCTTTAGAAGCGATCGATATGGCCACATCGCAAATAAGGTCATGCATATCAACACTCTCGATGTAATAACCATCAAGTAACAAACATGAGGCTTTGAGATGACTCACCACTGTCAATAGTCTGTTCCGCGTCTCTTCGACTGTATCGACACCGTGAAATATTCCCAAACCCATTGCAAGTTTAAGCAAGACTGCAATGTATGCGTTATGGCCTATTAGACTGCATAGCAAGAAAGTCTGTTTGTATTCTTCGCTTTCTAAACGATTGTAACTCAGCTCTATTGCTGAATATGCTTCTGCTGGTACCCCTCTGAAGTTGTTTGTGGAAGGCTTGTTGAGTTGCCGTAAAGAATCCTCCCACACAAATGGAGGTTCATTTCTCAAAGTCTTTGCAAGTGCTTTGATGGCGACCGGCAGACCACCGCACTTTTTGGCTACCTTAGTTGCAATGGGCAACAAATCTGGACTTTCAATACTGTCCCCTGCCATCTTCTTGAACAAATCCCAAGCGTCGTTGTGGCCTAAAACTCCAATTAGAAAACATTTTTTAGCATCCATACCCTTGGATAACACATGCAGATCTCTGGACGTAAGTAGTATGGTGCATCCATGATGCTCGTCTCCGGAAGGAATCCCCACTTCCGTCAGGTTTAATGTTGCCCAGATATCGTCTAAAACGACAAGAATCTTCTTTTCTTTCTTCAACCTTTCGCACAACCGATTTGCTCTTCCGTTCACGCTAAGCTCTTCGAATTTCAATCCCAACATGTCTGCAAATTGATCTTGAATCTTTTGGATGTCAGGAGTTTGAGTCACAGCTGCCATAACCACGGAGTCGAATAACTTATCCTCCTTGACTTGTCTAACAACTTCTTTAACAAGCGTGGTCTTGCCAACACCAGCCATTCCATACACCCCTATAATGTTGACATTAGGATCGTTCACCGCCTCCATGATATCGGAAAACACCTGCTTTCTTGAATCAAAGGCCTCGAAATCTTTCGGAGACACATTCATCATGCCTCGAGCAACATTCGGGTACCATACTGTCTGAAATACACCTTGTCGGACGAGTTCAACAACAGCGCTGGCATCTGCTTCTGCTTTCACACCAAGCTGATAACGAGCCTTGAAATTTGGACACAAGCCAATGAAACACTTGCTCTTTGCTTTGTTTTCAAGACCCTTCAACTCTGAATTGATTAAAGCGTCGGTTTGAATCAGCCAAGTCTTGACGTCGGTGTGTATATTCTTGCCGTTGTTTTCAGCGGCATCAACCTCCTGCTGCACTCGGTCTCTTCTCTCTTTCAAGGTCTCGACTTTATTCTCGAAATCAGAAACCCTTCTTCTATAGTGGAATACATAGCTGAAATGACGTCGAACTTTTTGAAACGTGTATCCAATGACTCCTGTGACAAGGTTGCTAGCGCTGCCCATAGTAATTTCCATGTTTGTGTTTTTGTTTTTTGGTTCAAAAGTGAAGCAAAAGTAAGTGGTAATATACCAACAGAGCAAACAGACACAAATAACAAGGAAACAAGGATGAAGAGACCAAGTTTTGACAGATTTCAAGCTCAACAGAAACAATGTAGAATTAACAGGATCAAGTACCGGAAAGGGTTTAAATTGTGGATTAGGGAAGGCAGTAGAGGGATGGGTGAATCTCTGAGATTTATATGTAGTAAATGATGTGGAAACAGCAATGTTTAAGCACAAGAATCGATGACGTAGGATGAGGGAAGAAATTGATATGGAAACTCTAATATTCCACCACAACAAGCGATGACTTTGACTAGGTAAGAGAATAGTATCCTCTCCATTTATACTATGTAAAAATAAAACTCTAATGTTTCCATGAATACTCATTTCTCCTTTTTTTTTTTTTAAAAAATAATTTAATTCTTAACATTTATTAAATTATTTGACAATAAATGCTCAATCACCTTGATGCAGTCTTTGCTGCTCGAATCTGTAATTTCTAAAAATAACAACAATTATTTTAACCACTAAAATAAATTAGTTCATGTAATAATTTAATTACTTTAAATTAAAACAAACTAAAAAGTTTGCATTGCAAAATTTAAACTCAAGTCTAGTGAAAAGGCTAACTTATGGTTTAACAACCGGACTAAATCACAAACTTGGTTTATTATTGAAAAATAATATTTAGCTAAAATCAAATTCGGTTCACCATTATGTTCATCTCTTTCACTATTTTTCGACTGCCTTATGCCTAGTATCTCTTGCAATTCCGTCAGATAAGTTTCAATTTCATGACTGTTTTTATTAATTTTACTCTTTAACTTGTTTGTACTCTAAATCTAAAGCCTTCTTCCTCTTTTTGATATTCACTCTCTTTTTCAATTGTTTCACAATAATTTGTTGGCTAGATACTAATGTTGCATCGACATGTCAAACTATATAGGCATGCCATGTTATTATCAAATTTTAGTAGCTAGTCCACTAATAATTTCTATATAAAAAGATAATTTTATCAAAAATTAACGTTAATAAAAAATATTTAAAAAATGAATACTAGATAAAATGATTATTATAATAAAATGTTATAGACAATTTTCCTCTATCTTTATGATACCTTTTTTTGTCTTTTTTTTTTGTTTGTTGGGTTGATTTTTTTTTTAATTTTTTAAGGTTAAATTTGGCATTGCTTTGACTGATCAAAATAACACTTATTTGTTATCTTACTGATCTTCACTACTCTGAACTCTCGAATTGGACTTGAATACGGAATTTACGTTCGTAGATAGCTTTCTAACAATGCACAATTTTGATTTGTGGTTGTCGATTGTCTTTCAATAGTTTAATTCTATATTGTGGTTCGTTTGTCGATGCAATCAGCTTTGATTGTATTTATCTTTTGTTTGATTTTTTTGGATGAGTTTTTTGTATGCTTCTTGTACGATCTCAACTAACTAGTTTATTGTGTCAATAATTATAGACAATATTTTAATTATTTGTTTAATTAATTAATTTATAAACTTCATTTTATATTTGAATATTTTCTCTATTTTAATAAAACTAATGATTCTATATGTATAAAAGAAAGCTCTCCGTAACAACGTCGTAGACGGAAATTGATATTAGAAACTTCACACAAGTAAACAATCAGTAGAGGGATGAGGCGTTAGATTTCTTAAGCAATATAAAGGACTCTAATTTTGAAATTTACGAATGGAGTAAATTAAGTTAGAATGATTGTTCTCGTTTCTATAGTATTCAATCCTGTAAAACTATTTCACGCAAGAAAAGGTGAAAGAGATTTCATTGATGGTATTCCCTAGGGATGTAAAATCAGGTAATCATTCATGTTTTAGTCGGATCCTGTAAGGTCAGGTAAAATCGGATACATGTTGTGTCAGGTTAATTTAATGGTTTGACTCGGATCAGGTCGAGTCTACGTCAAATCAGTTCGGGTCATTTTCAGGTTGATTTGACATCAGATTCAATTTAGGTTCAGGTCAGGTTAATTTTAGTTTGGATCGATGTTAGTTAATGTAAAAACGGTTCAGGTCCGAAGTAGTTAAATACCAGGTTAATTCAGGTTCGGATAGACTTCAGTCGAATCTTGTTCAGATCGGGTCACATCATTGACAGACAAAATTCAGGTCGGATCTTACAAGATAAATATATACTTTAGGTCATGTCATTTTATTTTTGGATTAATTATTTTTCGCCTTTCATGAACGTTGAATTGCAATTTGTAATTGTATATGATTTAGAGTAAATTACAAAAAATATAAATAATTATGGATTAATTTTGATAAAAATATAATTTGAAGGACTAGATTGAACAAATGTGAAATTACAAAAAAATTAAACAAATTAAACAACACATTGATGAGGGATCAAATCGAAAAAATTTTAAAATGTGAAATTGAAATTAATATAAAATTGGACTAAATTGTATCCATTTAAAAAGTTGGTGAATAAAAGTTTACAGAGTTTGGAGATTATAATATAATTTATAAAATTTGAAATGAAGTTTATTATGTGATTTATAGGGTATGAAGTAAATTACAAAAATATAAATAAGTATGGGTCAATTTCAGTTACAAATATAATTTTAAGGACTAAATTGAACAAATATGAAATTAAAAAAATTTCAATTTAAATAAATTAAACAACACAAAGGGATTAAATCAAAATAATTGTAAAATATGAAGAAAATTTGTAAAATAGATTGAATTTCAAAAGTTGAGAAAAAAAGTGAAACAATTATAATATATATTAATATATTTAATAATATAATATGTATGATGAATGTTATGAAAATATAATGCATGTATATATATTATAAGGTACATTATACTTATGCAACAATATAAGTATATATATATATATATATATTATAAGTATATACACTATAAAGCATTTAAACTATAAAATATATAAATTTTATATATATATATATATATATATATATATATATATATAATATTTGTTTTTATAGAAGCAACTAATTTTATTCAAAAATAGAAAATATCTCAAATTATAATAAATATTTACAATCACAATCGTAAATTAAGCACATAATTAGGAACATTTCCTATAAACATTGAAACAAAACTAGTAACGTAAGATCACATAAGGACCATACAGGAAAGATTAAATCTAACAAAGAAACTCGAACAAAGATAGATACAAATATATCTGATCGCATCGACAAACAAATCACAAAAGGGGATCAAGCTATTGAAATACCACGGCAAACCGCAAATCAAACTCGAGCGACGTGAAAAGCTATCCACGAACGCAAATTGGGTATCCAGATCCATTCTGAGGGTCCAAAGCAAGGAAGATCACAAGATATCAGATAAGCTTCATCTTGATTAGTCGTGGCGATATCAAATCAACCCTTAGAAAAATATAAATAAAAAATTACCAATGACCAAAAAACATGCCAAAAAGTATAAAAAAATATGTCATAAAGACAGATGAAAACGTACAACTCAAACATACTTATTGAAAATAAAAAAACAAAAGAAAATAAAGATACAATATAGAAAATAAAAAGAAAATAAAGAATACTGGCGATCGACAACAACCATTAAAGTTGGTGCCATTGCCGATCAACAAAGACGGAAAAGAAAAGAGATGAACAACACACAAATGAGAGACGTGTCATAGAGGCAGATGAAAACGTGTAACACATGCAGACTTATTAAAAATAAAAAAAGAAAAGAAAATAAAGATACATTATAGAAAATAAAAAGAAAATAAAGAATACCAACGGTCGGCAACCAACATTAAAGTTGGTGTCGATGCTGATCAATAAAGACGAAAAAGAAATAAGATGAACAATACATCAATGAGAGAAAATTAGGTTTTTAGGATTTTTTAGAAATAAAATAAAATATATAATTATATATATAAGTATATAATATATTATTGTATAAACTATATAGTATAAGTATATATATATATATATATATATATATATATAAAATATATATATGCATGTATGATGTTTGTATGATATATATATCCCAATTTCCCATTAAATTCTCAATTTCCCAACTTCCCAAAATTTCACTCTAAATTTCCAATTTCCCTCTATTCCCAAAATTTATATTCCCAAAATTTCCTTCTAAATTCCCAATTTTCTTCTATTCTCAAAATTTCTCAATTTCCCCCTATTCACAAAATTTCCCAATTTCCCTCTAGATTTTCAATTTCCCAACTTACTAAAATTTTCTAATTTTCCTCTAAATTCTCAAATAAAATCAAATTTTTTCACACACACAAAAAAAATCTTTCTTTTAAAAAACTCTCTCACCACTCACTTGGAATATAATATATATATATATATATATAATCTCAAATAAATTCATCTTATATGTATATTTTAAAATTTTATGTTAAGTTATATTTAAATTATTAATTAATTATGACATAAAAAATAAATTAAACTTATAAATATAAATTAATTTTATATAATATAATAAAATCATGTTTAATAAATAAATTATTTAATAAAATTAATTTAATGATTATAATTAAGATTTATTAAAAAAGGATTATAATTAATATAAAAAATAAATTTATTAATTTAATTATCATAACTAACAATTTATTTTAACTTTTAAAAGTAATCATAATAATTATCATAGTTTATTATAAATTCAAAATCTCACAACTTTATTAATTGTAACTTATAAGTCAAGTAAATATTAGATTAAGTCAATAACAAGTCAGATTATTTACAGGTTGAGTCAATTATATGTCAAGTTCATAATAGGTCAGGTTGATAATATGTAGGGTAATATCAGTTATTTACCAGGTTCGGGTTCATAGCAGTTGGATGCAGGTCCGATTCGGTTATCATATTATCGGTTTTATTCAGGTTCAGGTCATTCTCAGATCGAGTGCAGGTAAAGTTCAGATCCATAATTTCCAGGTCCAACTCAGGTTCAAGTCAACATTATTTCGGACTCGAGTCGATTTCGGATCACCATCGTTCAGGTCACAAACAATTTTGACTCGATTCTGTTTCAGTCATTTTTTAGGTCCATCAGTTTTTTACACCCTAGGAATTATGTATATTTTAAACAGCATTTAATGTCTTGTTCTTTGTGATTTTAAAAAAATGGAGACAATAAGTTAT